TCATGCATCGGGTGCCATTTTTCCATGTTTCGGGGCTGTTTAGCATCATATTTCAGTGCTGGAATTTGTGAGTTTGCATGCCATCTTGCATCCCTTGCCATGCCTTGTTAGAGTTACATGTTATGCCTAGGTTCGGTCCTCGGTTTGCGTGCATGCGTGCACGCATTTCGAGAGTCTCATTTTCACCTAATGGCTGCTGATGTGAGTGTGGCTGAGGTCCAATCATGTTGGTGTAAGTCCATCGTGCATTGTGTATGCCATTTCATTTCGCAGCATTGTGTATGTTAGGTTGTATGTTAGAGCATTGTGTATGCCTCGTTACATCGTGCATTATGTATGCCATTTCATAGCATTGCGTATGCCAGGTTTCATGTTAGGATTGCATTCACGCATGTCATGCATATTGCATAGTGCTTGGGATAGGAGTTAGCCCAAGCACGGGAACCGAGGGACGTTTCGTACTCCGAGTGACGGAACGTATCTCAATTCCCGGTCGTCGACACTCCGGATTATCCATGATGGAGTCTAGGCCTTGTTGTGTCCATATGTGTATTCATTTCATATTGAGTAATGCAATTCGACTTCTCGGCCATCATGCACCAAGAGGCGTGATTGGTGGCACGAAGATCGAGGACTACACTCCCTGAAGAGTAGTCATGCATACATATGTAAAAATACTTTGCCATGCCCCTTTGTTGCTCTCTGTTGCAGCAAATCAGAAATCGACAGCCTTCCGGAGCTTGGCACGCATCCCGAGAACAATTGCAAACAGAGGCGAACCGGGGCATCGCAATGGATTTCCGCGCAAGGCAACTCGAGCATGCATCATCCATCATTCGGAACAAAGCTGAGGCGGTTCACGAATTTGCGTGCAATTTATTGCTTTCCTAGATTAATTTGCTAATTAATTAGGATTTTGTATTTATTCGGGACTATATTATTTATTCATTTGGGACTGTATTATTTATTCGGACCCTCTGCGCGAGGGCAATGTTGTAATAAGTGTGCGTGTGTGTGATGTATGTCTTCCAACCCCACGTCTTTCTCCCTTTTATTTATCAGCTTATGATGGTCAGATTAGGGCATGTTTCAATTAGCATTCAGTATGATAGCATGTTTGCATTCATTCATTTGTCTTGCATGCACCGGGCTCGGCGCATCATACTAACTGTATTTGTATTTCAATTCCAAAGTTGAATACATGTTAGTTGTAGCATCATCACATGCCATCTTAGAATAGCCAAGCCTATATTAGCTGCATTCTTACATGTGTTGCATTAGGCATCTCAGCATATTTAGGATTCATGCATGATTTCTAATTAGCTTCTTTCTTTGGCTCGGAATACTAGGTAAGCTTTTATGCTTTAGCATACCGCATGTGTGTGAGTGCTTGCCATGATAGCATGCTTACCATGAGGCTATATGCTTATATGATATAACTGCCTAAATGCCTGTGGGTGAAGGCTCGGTTATTTGAATTGGAACAATTCGTTGACTATGAGTTTTAAGCCCACTAGATAGTGGCAAAATCATGTTTTCTAAGCCTATTCGAGGGTGGCAAATCCACGTCTTAGCCTATTTGCGGGTAGCACCATCAAACCATTTTCAAATAAACAAACATGAAACGTTTTGTTCCAATTCAGGCGATCCAGTCTATACTTGTATGCTGTGCGCATCACATAGTAAATCTAGTCGAATAACCGGAATAAGAACGCATAATGTTTTCAAAAATAGATATCATGGTTAGTAGAGGCCGATCTTTGATCGGGCAAGCGGGGGTGCTCACGAAGTGACCTTCCCTAATCGTACCCAAGTTCCCGAGCCGAGGCAACTTTGGTGATGACGGACACGTGGCCTTAGGCAACGAGTCAGGGTTTCCTAGATTTTCCAAAAATAAAATATTTAGGTGGCGACTTTGTATCTGGCAAAGCAGTCCATGTTTGGCACTTCTTTCAAAAAAATCTGTTTTCTCAAAACGATTTGTCGGATTTGGACTCTTTGGTTCAGATTAAGAACCGTGACAATTTGAGTCCGAACTGTAGTGAGCCCCAATACGAACAGAACGGGACTCATCCTCATGGGGCGTTCGGGGACGTCTACAGTTTCTGGCGACTCTGCTGGGGACTTAGAGAACTTGACTCGAACTCATGATATCTGTTTTTTACTACATTTTTGTGTTTCTCTGCATTGCATGTGCATTGGTGCGCCTAGGACACTGTGTTTGCCATCTGCTATTCCTCAACGGTTTGCCGGAGGCATGTCTTCTCAAGGCATGACCATAAGGCTGACCGGTTGTGGGCTCTGCCAGTATGGGAACACAAACCCCGGTTTTACAGGGACACCCTTTTCGACTATTCGACCTAGTGCATATTCAGAATCCGTAGTGACCATTCCAAACTAGGATAGGTTGCTTACCCGTTTATAGGTTGTTTGAAACCGCTTCGTGCGTAGTGAAACCCTGGCTCCTGACAAAATAGGACAGGGAAACCTTACTCCAACATAGGGGTGTTTTGGCTCTCACTTGTTAGTTATGTGCTTTTAGAGTGCGTCTATACGAATGCATGTATCAGTTTGCAAGTTTGGGCATCAGGCCTGCGGGCACCAATCCAGTGTTTCTGGGTATCAAGGGCCTGCGGGCACCAATTCAGCATTTTTGGAATCAGTTATCTGCGGGTATCAGATTCAGTTTTGGGCAGTGATTTGAGAATAACGATCAGTGGTCGAATACAGTTATTCAGCTTTGTTTACATCTGTTCTGGTAAAATTGGGCTGAGATGTTGCATGTTTTCTCTTTAGGAGGAGGATTAGAGATTCAGTTCAGAGCAACCAGTGTTCTCCTTCGCTGAGGTAGGGCAGAAAGAGGCCAGTCGAGGCCCACCAGTCCATCAGATCCGTCAGTCACCTGTTTGGTCCATCAGATCCATCAGTCACCAATCCAGTCCATCTGATCCGTCAGTCACCAGTCACATCACCTCTGTTCAGTTCAACAAAACTCGTGATGACGCAAAATTCGGAAGAAATTGTGGTTATGGCAGCCGCATGAAACCAAGGAATCACATTGCAGGGTGAGACCGACGTTGAAGTACCACACCCACCTAGGTCACCTGTCGCGCACTCGGTCTGGACACCCCAATTGTTTCAAGCTCGTGAGCCCACCAAGTTTGAGTTGATGGGAATGATTGGCGACCTTCAGAGATCCATGTCTGATCTAGCCTACGGAATGTTGGCTCTGCCACCAACCACATCGTATGCTGGGAACTTCATACCGGAGGAGCCCCCGCTACTAGGACGAATTGTAATCGAACTTAGCCAACCTGAAGCCATCCCAAGTTCTGGCAATGGCATATCGACAACAACGGGGCTCCACTCTGATGTAGCAACTCAAACCTTCTACCAAGCCGAGGTGAGTGTTAAGAACAAGATGAAGGTGGACACCGATCCCTACGAACAACTCCTGTGGGTTGTTGAGGCTTTGAAAGCCGGAGGATTGAATAAACAGCAGGTGCTCGTTGTTGCTGTAAAAACTGTGGATGACATCTTCCCCACTCAGGCCGAGAGCAGTTTAAGCCAGAGGGAAAATCGAGATGGGAACCGTCGTACCAGAACAGTTCCTTCCAATCCTAACCCTGCACCTGGAAAAGATCAGAGAGCCAAGGCAGCACCTGCCGACCCTTTTTCGAGTGCGTCCAACAAAAGTCAGCAAACCTCGAAGTATCCGCCCTGAGGTCGCAGGGTCTTCCATGCCCTCTACATGCCATTGTCTAAGGCCCTTCAAATCCTTGTCAAAAAAGGGCATCGCGAACCCCTCGAGCCTCGGCCTCTCCCGAGTCCCCTTCCAGCTAAGCATGATGGTACCCAGTACTGTGCATACCATCAACAAACCGGTCACAACACCGACAACTGCTTCCGTCTTTGTCACAAAGTGCAAGATTTGATTGGCAATGAAGCCATCCTCCCTCCAGCTCGGCAAAGTCTGTCACCACCGGGTTGGTGGATTTCGAGGATAATGCAAGTATGTGATTAGAGGTTCGACCACCTACGGGCGGCGGCACTATTTTGAGCATTTGCGAATGCTAGTTTTGTAGTTTCTGACTTGGGTGTTGAGTCAGTTCTGTAGTTGTCACGTCCCAAGCTCCGTGACAATGCCGCACACTCATTTAAGTGAGCATGCAAGGCTAAGAGTCCAACACATAACTAACAATGTAAAATACTCCAATCAAATCCTTAATTATCATAATACTAAAATCCATAAAAAAAATTGATTATTCTTATCATATGAAATTATCCACCAAGTCCACTAATAAAATCCATTAACAAAACAAATAATCCAAGTACTTAAATCATAGTCCTACTCTCGGCACTCCCATATGTGAAAAAATCCCGCACAGCTCTACTTTTCAGAATTTGAAAAAAATAAAATAAGGGTAAGCTAGACAGCCTAGTAAATAACCAACCATCACTGCCAGCTGGATCAAGTATAAAAAAATAAATAAATAAATCGATAATCAATAAATATAAATTTTTCTACAGTTCAATAAATGAACAATTATTTTGTAAGATGGTTTCATAGCTAAAAATAAACAATGTACAATACATTTTAAATGAAAAGCCAACAAGATAATTCATTGTTCAAATCGATGGTTCGATATTCAGATGGTTCAATGATTTGATTCACAAAACCCAAGTCTTATTGACAACGGTCACATAGCCCGTGACAAGGCCCAGAACCACACATAGGCCGGTGGTAAAGCCCCAAAAGAAACTAGTTTCTGTGCCAATAAATAACCCCCATTGGCTAGGGTCCACATCATAGTCAGACTAGAGTGATGTTCAAAATTCACACAATACACAAATTTTGAATAAAACATTCGATATTTTCAGAATAAACGTTTAGTATAATTTTCAGAATAGTTTCACCGAATATTCAAATAATTTCCATAATAATATTCGACGTTGTTTTATACTTGACCCATATTTTATTTTAAGAGAACAGGAAAGCTACGAATAAATATTTATGATTTTAAACGATTCGATAGGATTAAAAATAAACCAACAGTGATAGAGGGTTACTTACCTCAAACAGCTAAAATAATATTTCCCAAGCTAATCTCAAATTACCAAGATCCATCTCAATCTCACAAACCTCATAAAATATTATACCACATAAACAATTATTATTGATCACCATGATGCATCTATCATTCTTTTCTTTATAATGTACTATTCTAATCCTATAGTCTACAAGTAAATTCCAAAACCCCAAAATACATACACCCAATCAACATACAAGATACTATGTCTAAAGAAATAGTTAGGAGTACCATAAAAACAAATCTTACCTCCAAGAGATGATTAGATCAAAGTCACCAATCTATGAATCTTCTTTCTTTTCTTTTCTTCTTCTTCTTCTCTCTCTCTATTTTTTTTCTTCTTCTTCTTTACTGGTAGATCTGCCGCAGCAGCCACTAAATTGTCAATACCTCTATTTGTTTGTGCTTCTATGTTTCCAAGACCTAAAGCCCAAGTAGGCCTATAACCCAATCTCCCAAAATCACAAACTTAACCATCTAAGTAATAAAAATTTTAAAAAAAACCACCTCATAACTAATTCCTTGATGTTACTAAAATGACCCATATAAATTAATTTAATTACTACTTTATCCAAAAATAATTCTACACATAAAAATTTGGATTTTACATTCTTCCCCACTTAAAAGAAATTTTGTCCTCGAAATTTGACATACCTGGAGTCTCAAAAAGTTGGGGATACTTTTGTCTCATTTCATCCTCAAGTTCCCAAGTAGCTTCTCTTTCCGAGTGATTACTCCATTGAACCTTAACATAGTGAATGACTCGACGCCTCAAAACCTGTTCCTTCCTATCAGCAATTCGTATAGGGTGTTCCTCATATGTCAAATCCTCCTTAAACTGCAACGGTGCATGATCAATCACATGACTAGGATCCGGTATATACTTCCTTAACATTGAGACATGAAAAACATTATGAACTCCAACTAGTGAAGGTGGTAGGGCAAGTCTGTAAGCTACCTCACCAATTCGATCTAAAACCTCAAATGGCCCAACAAATCTAGGACTCAATTTACCACGAACACCAAACCTCATTACTCCTTTCATAGGAGACACCTTAAGGAATACATGGTCTCCAACCCCAAACACCAAATCACGTCTCCTGTTATCTGCATAACTTTTCTGTCTACTCTGTGACAACTTCAAGTCAACATCTCTTATTCTATCGGGGGGGGGAAGTTACTTTTTCTCAGAGTAACATATTACTTTGTTTGACAGTTACTCTGTCTTGCAGTAATAACATATTACTCTAGTTCACAGTAACATGTTACTCTGGTAATATTATAACAACCCCGACCTCTGATTAACGTTAATTCATGATTAATTATGCCTAATAAGTAATTAAGAAGAAATCCTGAGTTAATTGCATGTATTATGTGCTATATGGGTGAATTATATATATATATATACAGAGAGAGAGAGAGAGAGAGGAGAGAGATGAGCGCTCGGTGATATTGCATATCGTGCTCGTTCAGAAGTTTCAGAGTCTAGGCTGGCGAGCCTTGCCTCCGGACTTTCGGACTCTTTCGTGCTTTGCCTCGGTTTTGCGAACCAGGCTCTGTTTCTCTATTTTCTCTTCCGAAGGGAGAGAGAGGTCTCGTAGATCATCTCTTAGTGGCCATAGGCTACGTTTCGTGGTCATAGGCCATTTTTCCGCTTGGAGCCCGTTTCCGTTTTTCAGAGCGACGACCATGTGCCTCGGTTCGGGACCGCCTAACTCCGTTTGCTCGGTTTTTGGTATACACCTTATTTCCTCCCTTTTGAGGAACACTGTGGCCCGAGAGACAACTTCGTGGTCGAACGCCACCTCCAGTGCTTAACAGCCCATTTTCGGGGCCCCGGGCCGCGTGTTTCGGTCCCCGAACCTCGTTTTGCATCCGTTTTGGTTCATTTTTGGTGGAGACCTTTTTTCATTGTTAGAAAGCTTGTAGGAGGGTGGGAGGCCAGTAATTGTTTCTGAAAGCCAGTTTTATTTTTCATCGCTCTCCGTCGCCCGTTTTTCTCACTAGAAAGCTAATGTTAACCACCTTAGGCCACTTTTTCTAGCCCTAAAACACATATTTGTGTTGTACACACCTGGGAGGCCACCAATATTGATAGGCCGCAGTAATTGTCCTCTGAGCCTTTTGAACCCCTCTTTAAAGTTGCTTTTTTCTCTCTTGGTTCACATTTTCTGGGTTTTGACCATATAGTTGTGTTGTGCACACATGGAAGGCCACCTTTTTAAGGTGGCCGGCCAGCAATCTTCATTGACCCTTTTGACCCTTGGTCGGCACGGCCATGGGGGGTGGCCGGCCGGCCACCTGAACCTTTTGAACCTGGCCGGCCATGATCCTCTCCCCAAGTGTATTCCAGCTCTGCCAGCTGTTTCCTCCCAGATCTGTATCCAAGGGGCTGCCTTTTTGGGGGGAAATTTTGAATTTGTTTTTCCCCCTTTCTTGGCCTCTCTCCCTCTTTAAAACTAGCACTCTACCACCATTTTGAAGGGTTAGAAACACCAGCTGGAGCATACACCTTCCCTCCTCCATTGCTCTCCATTTTCAAGCTCCAAACACCCATTGTCTTGACCTTTACACACCACCTCCAAGCCTACAACCTCCACACTCCATAACCAGCAACTTGAGGCTGTTTTTCAGAGGTTAAGAAGCTCCTCTTATTGGACCAAAACTACTGAAGACTTGTGCTACAAGGGTGAGTCCTCTTCTCCCTCTTTCTTGCCTTATTTTGTTCTATATCTTATCCCCTTTTGCTTACATTTTTGAGCTCCGACCTGAACTGTAAATAGTCATATTTTTGAGCTTCTCTTCATGTTTGATCAAGGACTTTTTGCTGTTTGAGGTCTTCTCCTTACCCTTGTGTTTAATCTCTCTTTAGGCCTATTTTTGCAATGGTATTTTTAGTCTTATTTGTGAGCTGTTTTGGACTTCGTCATAAACTGTAAAATGTCTTTTTTTGAGTCCCTCTTCAACTTTGTTGAAGGGCTCTCCTCTGTTTGAGGCCAGCTTCTACACTTGTCACTTTATCCTCTCTTAGGCCTTTTCTTGAATGTTGTTTTTAGCCTCACTTGTGTTTATTTTTGAGACTTGATATAAACTGTAAAGTGCCTTGTTTTGAGCCCCTCTTCACACTTGGTTGAAGGGCTCTTTGCTATTTGGGGCCAGCTTCTGTCCCTTGTCTCTATTCTCTATTTTAGGGCCATTTTTTGCACGATAGATTAGCCCTATTTATGTTCATTTTGAGACTTGTTATAAACTGGAAAAAAGGCTTTTTTTTAACATCATATTCATGTTTTATTAAGGTTATTATTTTATTTGAGGTAACATGCTTCCTTGTATGCCTGATTGTCCCTTGTTTTGAGCGTTACACCTAGCCCCAATTGCATGCTTTGTTTGGCCTTCTAGCCACTGAAATCCAGTGGATTTTCAATGGCTGGAACACTATTTTGAGAGCCAAGATTAGAGGGGGGTGACCCCCTCTCTCCTTCTCTTGTTTGGTGCCTTTTGGCCTTCCAAAGAGACCCTACCTTGCATGCTTTGAAGTCACTTTTCAGGGTCAATTTGGTGAGTTTTAGGACTACCATATTTGATTTTTCAAAGTTTTTTATGCCATGCTAATTGTCTACCTTGCATGTGCTTAATAACTCCTTGCATGGCCCCTCCAAAGTAACTCATTACGTTTTGCATACCAATGGTTGCATATCAGTGGTTATTGGGCCTATTTTCACATGATTTATTCACTAATTTTTGCTTGTTTGGTGAGATTACATTTGCTTCAATATACTTGCCTATGTAAACCATGATTGCTAGTCAAGATTGCGTGCTATTTTGTCCACCATGCTAGCATCTTTTGGCCATGCTTTTGAACTGGAAATGTTCATATTTTGGGACTGCCTTGGTCTCTGTATTCTGCTTCATGATCAAATAATGCATGCTTTGTATAGCTATACTCATTCCATGTGCCTAGTTTTCGAGTTTCGGGTTTCGTCTCATGCATCGGGTGCCATTTTTCCATGTTCGGGGCTGTTTAGCATCATATTTCAGTGCTGGAATTTTGTGAGTTTTGCATGCCATCTTGCATCCCTTGCCATGCCTTGTTAGAGTTACATGTTATGCCTAGGTTCGGTCCTCGGTTTGCGTGCATGCGTGCACGCATTTCGAGAGTCTCATTTTCACCTAATGGCTGCTGAGTGTGAGTGTGGCTGAGGTCCAATCATGTTGGTGTAAGTCCATCGTGCATTGTTGTATGCCATTTCATTCGCAGCATTGTGTATGTTAGGTTGTATGTTAGAGCATTGTGTATGCCTCGTTACATCGTGCATTATGTAATGCCATTCATAGCATTGCGTATGCCAGGTTTCATGTTAGGATTGCATTCACGCATGTCATTGCATATTGCATAGTGCTTGGGATAGGAGTTAGCCCAAGCACGGGAACCGAGGGACGTTTCGTACTCCGAGTGACGGAACGTATCTCAATTCCCGGTCGTCGACACTCCGATTATCCATGATGGAGTCTAGGCCTTGTTGTGTCCATATGTGTATTCATTTCATATTGAGTAATGCAATTCGACTTCTCGGCATCATGCACCAAGAGGCGTGATTGGTGGCACGAAGATCGAGGACTACACTCCCTGAAGAGTAGTCATGGCATACATATGTAAAAATACTTTGCCATGCCCCTTTGTTGCTCTCTGTTGCAGCAAATCAGAAATCGACAGCCTTCCGGGCTTGGCACGCATCCCGAGAACAATTGCAAACAGAGGCGAACCGGGGCATCGCAATGGATTTCCGCGCAAGGCAACTCGAGCATGCATCATCCATCATTCGGAAACAAGCTGAGGCGGTTCACGAATTTGCGTGCAATTTATTGCTTTCCTAGATTAATTGCTAATTAATTAGGATTTTGTATTTATTCGGGACTATATTATTTATCATTTGGGACTGTATTATTTTTCGGACCCTCTGCGCGAGGGCAATGTTTGTAATAAGTGTGCGTGTGTGTGATGTATGTCTCCAACCCCACGTCTTTCTCTCCTTTATTTATCAGCTTATGATGGTCAGATTAGGGCATGTTTCAATTTAGCATTCAGTATGATAGCATGTTTGCATTTCATTCATTTTGTCTTGCATGCACCGGCTCGGCGCATCATACTAACTGTATTTGTATTTCAATTCCAAAGTTGAATACATGTTAGTTGTAGCATCATCACATGCCATCTTAGAATAGCCAAGCCTATATTAGCTGCATTCTTACATGTGTTTCATTAGGCATCTCAGCTATTTAGGATTCATGCATGATTTCTAATTAGCTTCTTTCTTTGGCTCGGGAATACTAGGTAAGCTTTTATGCTTTAGCATACCGCATGTGTGTGAGTGCTTGCCATGATAGCATGCTTACCCTGAGGCTATATGCTTATATGATATAACTGCCTAAATGCCTGTGGGTGAAGGCTCGGTTATTTGAATTGGAAACAATTCGTTGACTATGAGTTTTAAGCCACTAGATAGTGGCAAAATCATGTTTCTAAGCCTATTCGAGGGTGGCAATCCACGTCTTAGCCTATTTGCGGGTAGCACCATCAAAACCTTTTCAAATAAACAAACATGAAACGTTTTGTTCCAATTCAGGCGATCCAGTCTATATACTTGTATGCTGTGCGCATCACATAGTAAATCTAGTCGATAACCGGAATAAAGACGCATAATGTTTTCAAAAAATAGATATCATGGTTAGTAGGGCCGATCTTTGATCGGGCAAGCGGGGTGTGCTCACGAAGTGACCTTCCCTAATCGTAACCCAAGTTCCCGAGCCGAGGCAAACTTTGGTGATGACGGACACGTGCCTTAGGCAACGAGTCAGGGTTTCCTAGATTTTCCAAAAATAAAATATTTAGGTGGCGACTTTGTATCTGGCAAAAGCAGTTCCATGTTTGGCACTTCTTTTCAAAAAAATCTGTTTTCTCAAAACGATTTGTCGGATTTGGACTCTTTGGTTCAGATTAAGAACCGTGACAATTTGAGTCCGAACTGTAGTGAGCCCCAATACGAACAGAACGGGACCTCATCCTCATTGGGCGTTCGGGGACGTCTACAGTTTCCTGCGACTCTGCTGGGGACTTAGAGAACTTGACT